CAAAGCCATGCCACTTTGGGTCCAGCAAGGTGTGTGTTTTTAAGTGATCAATGATCCTTCTTTTCAGGAGTGATTGCATTAACTTGACTACAACCACTTTTAAACTTACTGGCCTGTAATTGCCAGCTTCTGTCTTGCTGCCCTTCTTTTGGATAGGTGCAATATTAGCTGTCCTCCAGTCATGGGGAATGTATCCTGTTAAAAGAGATTGATTTAAAAGATCCATTAATGGTTCAACAACTATACCTTGAAGTTCTCTTAGAACTGAGCCAGTTCCTCTGCTACCTCTGTCTCTAGAAATCTGAATAATGACCTGTCATTTACAACTGATATGATTCCCGAACTTGTTATTGCTAGTGCATTTTATTTCTGAGGAGACTGAACAGAAGTAATTGTTTAAATGGTTTGTTACATCCAGGTCTCCCTCAACATAAATGTTGTGCCCAGTTTTAATTTTAGAGATATTTTTTTCTTCTATCACTGATATACCTAAAAGGGTTTTTTTTTCTCCTTTCTTAATAAATTTGGCATTCGCCACCCATGCCTATAGGCACCTGATGTTATTCTGAAACCAGCTATCATTTTCAGGTCTGCTTTTGTTGTAAGAGCTCTCAAAGTGGTTCCTGTATAAAAGAAGCCTGAAAACAGTGTTTCAAGGCTTTGTTTATAAGCTTACAAGGCTAAACAGAGGATTTCTGAATAAACAAAGCCTGCAAACAACAGGAGCCTCTGTCAGTGGTACTCAACGGAAGCTGTAATACCAGCTTCTATGAATGGAGAAACTGGGCAGAAAGGACAGACATAGTTGAGTACTTCTGATGAGTGACTGTGAGGCTTTCTTAGTTCTATGAAATTCCGTGGCCCTGGAAAATTACAGCAATGAGGGTGGAGCGGAGCATCAGAATAGAAAGATTTCAGCTTAATAAGAACACAGCAGAACAAGGGACACATCTCACTGAAAGTAAGTAATGTCCCTTGTGCTTTTTTTCTTTTTTTTAAGTAAACTTAGGGTTTAAATCTGCTGATCCAGCCCATAACTAACTACTACATTCAAATAGCCAATTGTTTTATGCACACTGTGTAATGGTGATTAAAGTGGTTCTAAAACCTGAAGGTTTTTTACCTTCATGCATTCTAAGCATGAAGGTAAACAGCCTTCAGGGTGCAGCTCCTCCTCAACCCCTCTAATACTTACCTGAGCCCAATCTTGATCCAGCGATGTGCACGAGAGCTGAGGCTCTCTATGATCTCTTTCCTCTCCCCATTTGCTGAGACACAGCAGTGGGAGCCATTGGCTTCCACTTCTGTCAATCACAGGCAGTGAGGAGTGGGACTGAGTGATGGGACTAAGCCACGCTTTGTGTGTCCCATAAACACACAGAGGCAGCTAGAGAGTGAGCATTCACGAGTGCCCCCAGAGCAAGCAGCTTACTTTGGGGGCACCCAACAAGGGGGAGGGCCCAGAAGCTGTGGGGGGGACACAAGAAGAGGAGGATCGTGGCTGCTGTGTGCAAAATCACTGCACAGAGCAGGTAAGTATCACATGTTTATTTTAAAGAAAACAAAAACAAGCCTTGTGTTTTTAAATGTTTTAAGCAGTACAACAGGGGTGTGGCCTGTTTATGTACAGGGCTTAAAACAGACCATGTCATGAGTCCATTCATTTGAACAAAAATCTTTACATAAGATTATGTACATTTATAATCAATTGACACTCTGGTATATCCCTTTGTTCCTTTCCCAGCAACTACACAAATGATTACAGAGGGAGGTAAGGGGAAGTGGAGGTGCTGGGCCAGTAAGACCGTAAACAGACACTCCCAGAAGAATAAAGGGCTATGATGTGCGCAAAGAGGGCTGGGCTAGGGAATTGACTTTTCTGGAATAGTCAAATTTTCTTGCAAAGGCACATTGCAAACTAATAATTAATTTATGAAATAAACACTGTAAGTACTTATAATTCTCGATTCTTATATGGTTTTAAATTGGTAATGGGGTCTATTTAAGGTGCTAGATGTTCTGTACCTATAGGCTCTTTAAATGTAAATCTAGCCCTGAATGATGGTGATTTTACTGTTTATGGATAAGATCTGGCGCCATATATTATTCTGGTTAATAATAGTTGGTTTTAGTGGAAATAGCAGTCTTTCCTGTTGGAATATTTTTCAGCTATTCACAATTATTTCTTAGGAGTTACGTTGGTAGCAGAGGTGTCTTGGTGCATTTCAACCTTCTGCCTGTATCGATATAAGCAGGCACACAAGCGATTTGAGTATCGATGGATGTGAAAAAAAATCAAATTGAAAGTCTTTCACACGCCAGATGGGGTTACAGAATGTTTTTTTCAGCCCATCTGAAGCATTTTCTACGTAAACCTGTGCACACACAACTAATTCCTAGGTATATGATACCCTTATGCAGGGAAACCCTCTACCGTACATTATATTCAATGGATGAGAAATAGCTTTGATATGACATGAACAGGATTGGGAAGAGTTCTCTAAATCTTATTTTTACACAGTTATATCCACAAGAGATAAACTTGTAATGCTTTCATAGAGCATATTTTACTCCCGTTGGACTGTTTAAAATGGGAAAAAGTGATGCACCTGTTGTCTGTTATAAATGTCAGTTGGTAAATGGAGATATATGGTATTGAATTGCACCAAAATCAGACCCTTTTGGTTTTTGTCTTTTACCTAATACTTGTACTATCCCCAAATCAAAGCAACCCAGTGTGGTTTCCCTTAGTGATGAGCTTGAAGCTTAGGTTTTTGGTCTAAATCGGATTCACACCAAACCCAGAAGTTAGCTGTTGTGCTGGGAGATTCCTTGGCTACAACTGACATACACAAAGAATGGGGATGCTTGTGATATTGTTGAACTAATAGAAGCACATGTCCCATTTTAGGCAAGCAGCTAAATACACAATTGAAGTTAATATGAAAAGTTTTACCTGTCAAAGGATTATAAATCTGTACATCCAGTTTGTGAATACAGACAGCACTGTCAGACACCGCCTCCACATCATCAAACTCCACTGAAGCAGCCAAAGAGCTTGGTCAAGAAAAGTGATTAAAACACACCCCTAGCCTGCTAACTGGACAGCGAAGGAGCAGCAGTATACTAATTAGGTCACTTTCTGCTCCTTCCTCTTTATCTTCTTTTTGCATGTTACCTCCTATCACCTACATGTGCACTGGACTATGGCCTAATTGGCTCCTTACTCTGCCCGTTATTGTCTGCAGAGGAGATGACAGATCCATGTATGTTTTTATTTTTTCAGGCTTTTTCCCTACCATTTCACTTATTGATCCTGTCAGTGGCACTCTGCTGCTCTTACATTGCTCCCTTTCTGTCTGTTTCTTAGGAGGATCAGGAAATGTGAGGACAACAGAAGAGAACACCCCTTCCTCTCTTCTACATAACATTGGGAGGGGGGGGGGGGGTCTGTAGTTTGTAGATATATGACGGGTAGGGCTGATAACAGTGTTTTCAATTTTAGTGCAACATTGCCCACTGGAAGGAAGTTTGGAGATCATTTCACTTTGGGCAGAACAAACAAGTAATTTTTGCACTTATCAAAAAGGTGTAAAAAAATAATTTTATTGGTTTACTGGTATATTTAAAGTAGAATTCCAGCCAACCCCTTATTACTCTTAAAAATGCTCCTTCCTCCCTCCTAGCACCTATTCTGACTAACCTGTGTAATAAAAGATCTGTATATACTCACTGGCCATTTTATTAGATACACCTGTTCAGTTGCTTGGTAACACAAACTGCTAATTTGCCAATCACATGGCAGCAACTCAATGCATTTAGGCAATTAGATATGGTGAAGACGACTTGCTGAAGTTCAAACCAAGCATCAGAATGGGGAAGAAAGGAGATTTTAGTGACTTTTGAACGTGTTATGGTTGTTGGTGCCAGACAGGCTGGTCTGAGTATTTTAAAAACTGCTGATCTACTTGATTTTCACTCACAACCATTGCTAGGGTTTACAGAGAATGGTCAAAAAAAAAGAGAAAATATCCAGTGAACAGCAGTTGTGTGGATGAAAATACCTTGTTGATGTCAGTGGTCAGAGGAGATTGGGCAGACTGGTTCGAGAATCTCTGAGGAATGTTTCCAACACCATGTTGAATCTATGCCATGAAGAATGAAGAAAGTTCTGAAGGGGGTCCAACCCTGTACTAGCAAGGTGTACCTAATAAAGCGGCTGGTGAATGTAATTACCTATTTTCAGGCTGCTCCAGTCTGGTAATGTGATCTCCCTCCAACAGCTGCAGGGGAATACAGAGAGTGCTCAACAATGGCTGGCAAACCTGAGAGGAAATGTCATCCATCTTATCATGGCCCATCCATTGTCGGAGCTCCCTCCTCTCCCCTGCATCCGGTGCTAGATGACACTAGGGGGCCAATCATGTAACTGGACCACAGTGGTTTGAAAATAGGTAAGTCTACAGATCTTTTCTAACACAGTTTGGTTACAAAAAAAAAAATGTTCTAAGGCCTAATATGGATCTGAGAGGCATGTATCTATGTTGGTCTCATTGACTTTGAAGCTGAATAGTTGCTTCAATATCCCCAAACTAGCAGATAACCAGGGCTCAAAGTATGACTGCTCCTATCAGAGGTATCTCAGACAACTCGAGGAATAACTCCTCTTTATAAAGGCTTGAGGTTCTCAAAATGGAACTAGTTGTACATTTTTGGGCTATGAAAAAAATGTAAAATATAATATTAAATTATGGCTGTAAATCTGTTTTGAAATTATAAACAAACACAGCGCGTGGCATAGTAAAGAAAATGGTGTGATTATCCTAGTGTCTCTAATGTGTCGGCTATCATGTAGCTTAAATAAGCAGCATATTGAATGAAAATGTAATATTTTGCCATGCAATTATTCCATTTATTTAGTGCTGATGAAGACAATAATGTCAGAAAGCTGATGATAGTGATCTGTTTTCTCTCACACAGGCAGATATTTAACATTTATCATGGATCCAACCCAATTCCAGTATGTCATTCGAAATGGCAAGAAACTTGACTTCCACGAATTCTCCAACGAAATGGCATCCAGGACGTTTAACTACCCACGCCTGTCAGAATCAAAGTTCCCCCAGCTACGGGACAGCATGAACAAAATCTATAAAATCATGCAGGGTAAGCCTTTGGACAAACTCACTGACAGCATGATGATAAATCTCCAACGTGTATTCAAATGGAAATTCTCACAAGCAACAGATTGGAGAACAGAAAATATGTATCAGTTCTGCTGCTCTATCATGTTTGAAGCCAGTTTTATGACACTCTATGGAAGAGATCCTGTTGCAGATGGTCGTAACGTTATTAGTGAAATGAGAGAAAAATTTACAAAGTTTGATGCCAAGTTCCCCTATCTTGTCGTCAATGTACCAATTGCGTTGCTAGGAAATACCAAGTCTATTCGGGAAGAACTCATCCAGTTTTTTATGCCTCATAAGATGAACACCAGGCATGACCTGGCTGAGGTAATAGAAGCCCGGAAAGACATCCTGGAAAATTATGATGTGCTACGTGATTATGACAAAGCAGGTACGCTTTAAAGAAGTCCTTTTTTTCCTAAATTCTGGCAAATAATTTACTGTAGACCTTTGAAATAAAAAATCAAAATTGCGACCTTGAAAATGTTATATGCTTCTTTTAATTGGCTAAGGATAAAATGTTTTACTCTCAAACAACCATCTATAATTTTTTTTTTTTTTTGCTGAGGTGGTAAAACAAGATACTTAATAGTGGTAATGAGAAAAAGATTATAACCGAGTTGCCTATACCCCCCCCCCACCCCCCCCCACCCCTCTTACTACATTCTCTCCCCCTTCCTGCAGACATTATATTTTAAACTATTCTCATTAAGCAGAAAATTAGACTTCAGAAGCCTATTGGTCCTCATTAGCATTCACTGATCCTTGGCTGGGTCTGTGTCCTAACATCTTTTAATTAGCACACTGCAAATCTAATCAGTGTAATAAATGCTATTAATCTTCCTTTTCCCTTATTTTCTCGCAGCCCATCATTTTGCCTTCCTTTGGGCCTCTGTGGGGAACACGATTCCGGCTACATTCTGGGCCATGTACTACCTGGTGAGGCACCCAGAAGCCCTTGCATCAGTGCGTGACGAAATTGACCATTTGCTGCAGTCAACAGGTCAGAAGAGGGGGCCAAACTGTGACATCCATATCACCAGAGAACAGTTGGACAGCCTGGTTTTGCTGGGTAATTTATTTTCTTTTTTTTATCTGCATTAAACCGAATAGCAGCAAACTCTGCATATGACACATTTCTGTTTACCGAAAAGGTAAAGGACACAGCTGCTTAATTGATGTGATAATACCCATTTACATCATTTATAAATTACATAGTTTGTATCCGCAGCTACTTTACTTGCATGTAAACATTACAGATAATGGTACAAGGCGAAATGGCTCAATATGAATTCAACAATATTTAACAGTGGTTAAAAAAAAATGAAAATATGATTATTGACTGGCTTGATTCTAAGCATCTGCTCAGGAATAATACAGGCACTGGAGATATTAATGGTTATTTTCAGAGGTTATTTGCGAGTTATTAGCAATAAAGATGACACATAAAAAGGAGCAGTGACAGAACTGATGAGAGTGAAGCCAAAGCAGCCGGTCAGGTATCAGTTTCCATTTGCCTGACTAAACTTAACTGCCCACATGGGCAGATTTGATAAGCATTGTAGAGCAGTGTGTAGAATCAATTTTACATGTTAAAGGTATCTTGCCATTCCTGATGAATCAGCAGTAGAAAACTGATGTAGCAGCTATTGCATTGAATTCAAAAAATTTTTTTGCCCAAAATCTAAAAAACTAGACATTTTTATTGAAATGGACAAGAGAAAAGAAAAAAGACAAAATAAATAGGAAATGGAGGTAATAATGTATAAAATATTTCTGGAAATACTCTTTGATAGTGCAGGTACACATAATTAAAAAAAAGCTTAGTAGAAAGCTTAGGTGCAGCTAAAATTATATTAAAGCGGAACTAAATCTATCCATTTAATGGTTTCACAAATAGTTACATTCCTGGCAAACCAGGAATGCTAACTGTCACATTTGCTTTTGCTCTCAACCAAACCATTAAATGACTGGTGTTATAACTGATCACGTGCAGCGCTATGGCAGTTGTAGATCCAACAGAGGCTAAAATGGCAGCTTCCTTGGCTGAAAAAGATAGGGAGATTTAGTTCCACTTTAAAGTCAACAAAAAAAGCACAGAGTTTCCATGAACTCAGAAGATTATTGTAGAAAACAGAATTTCAATACCACATGGCAACTGCTTCTGAAAAAGAGTGGGTCAAAATTACAGGAAACATCTGGTTACCTGAGCTCGATCCCAAACCACACCCAAGTTAGTTACCCTTTAATTGTTAACCGTAACATACTAAAATTAATTTAAAAAAAGCAGGGAATTCAGTTGTGGAGGAATAATTATTTTAAAACAGACTTGGCGTCACCTATATCATTTATTAGGCAAGAGAATTGGTATGCATGTTATACCCCTCCCACTTGCAATCTGTTTATTAACTGGTCCCAACAAGATGGCCCATGAAAGTGATATGCTAAAAAACATCCTGCACTTTGAGAGCCTAGCAATAGACACTTTGCATGACTGTTGGCATCTTCTTTGATGATCAGGAACCAATAAGAGTGGTTCCCAGTCATGTGGTTACTAAGACAACTCTTACATAGTGACCGTAATCGCATGCAGGCATTGATAAAAATGAACAAGTAAGGTCCCACTTCAGTTCACCTTCAGGCAGCAGTATTATTCTGTGGTGACTGTCAGATACAGTTGCATTTTTACAGTTTTTTAACTTTTTTTTTAATTAAAAAAAAAAATGTATTTACATTTATTTAATTGTTGCCCTATAATAAAACACAGCAGTTTTATTGTAGAGCACTGGTTTATTTGTTAATAAAACGGTGTACCAAATAAAAAGCTTCATATGTCCTTAAAAAATATAATTATTTAGGAATTCAAATTAGTCATAGAGTTCTTGTTACATTAGCTGACACATGCTAACACTAATTAATTATAATTTGACAGCTAGGCATTAATGACCTTTGGTCATGAAAGGGTTTATTTATTTATTACAGGTACTTATATAGCGCCATCAATTTACGCAGCGCTTTACATATATATTGTACAGTCATATCAGTCAGTGCCCTGAAGGGGTGTACAATATAAGGTCACTAACTTACATTCATACATACACATACTAGGGCCAATTTAGACAGGAGCCAAATAGCATATCAGCATGGTTAAGCCCATGTTTTCAGTTGCTTCCCAAAAAGACTAAACTATACAAACCTATGAGGTTATAAGCTGACTTTTAGCAATAAAAAGGGAAGGCTTGCCACTCACACCAAAGCTTCTCATGTTTGTTAAATCCTACACTAGCACTTTACAGAGCACAAAAAAGCCGATGTACATCAGAAGCCACAAGATCGAGAAACAGTCGCCCGTAAGGCTCTAGAGACTTGCATATGCAAATCAAGACTTTCCAACACTGTACTATGTCAAGACACTGCCACTAATCATTATAAATGGATTTGTTGAGGGTGAATTTGATATAAAACTGTAACATTAATATATTTTAAATGCTGCTTTCAGTAAGTGAAATGCTACAAATCTAACTTATTGGTTGCTGGGATTTAATAAACTACATTTCTCTTTGCAGTATATTAGGGTGCAATATATTAAATGGTAATATTTTTATTTATCCCCCTCTTCATTTTATCTAATAGAGTAATTCCAGAGACATTGACAACAAAAGACAATAGAGATGAAACAGAAAACACTGTGTAAAATTTAAGTAGAAAACCCCTTTAACATGTACACATTTAAAAAAAAAAAAAAAAAAAAAAAAAAAAAGTATACTGTTTTTTTAAACTTACAAAACAAAACTAAAAAAGTGTGGGGTCACCTAAAATTACTGTGTCATGAAAATAAATAATTGAAAAAAAACCAAATAATTAAAAGACCCTTAACCAGGCATGCAGCCTGGGTGGCCTGGAAAGGGGGCACCCTTCTTCTGAATCATACCAGGCCATGTGCCTTCACCTTTAACAAAGCTCACTCCTTTTTACAAGGCACCTTGTCCTCGATGTTGAGGAGATAAAAGACTCATCTGCACACCCTGTCAACGATTTGTAGGGGGATGTATCAGAAACTGGGAGCCCCCTTAAAATAATGAATCAGTATAGGTACACAATGGCCCATCCTACTTATTCACAAAAAAAAATTAAAAAGTAAATTAAAAAAGTGAAAAAGTCCCTTATTTAAAAAAAAATCACGGCATCCAAAGTTGTAGATCCTAATTACTCATGATGACCCACTGTCCGATGATCTTGACCCACCGTCCGATGATCTTGACCCACCATGCAACATTGTTTTAACACCACCATAACAACTCATTAGTTTGGAAAGACGCTATATTTAAAAAGGGATCAACGTCTTTGCCAAATACCTACAGATTGTTAGTTTAACTTCTGTAGTCAGGAAGATACTTGAGAGTTTGATAAAAGACCACATACAGTTTTTGCTAGAAATAGTCAGCATGGACTCGTGAAAGACTAAAGTAGTCAAATAAATCTTATTTCTTTTAATGAGGAAATAAGCAAAGACTTCGACAAAGAAGTGGCTTTGAATATAGTATACTTAGATTTTGCAAAAGCGTCTGACACAGTTCCCCACACACAGCCATTGTGTAAGTTAAAGTCTACAGTCTTAGAATATTCAGTTTGTAAATGGATACAAAACTGGCTAAATGTCCATCTTCAGAGTAGTGATGAATGATTCATACTTTAAATGGTCTATGGTTATCAGTGGTGTACACCAAGGTTCAGTATTGGGACCCTTACTTCTAGCCTATTTATAAATGATAGAAGGTTTGGGATTAAAAGTATTAGTTCTGTGTTTGCAGATGACACCAAGCTGTGTACTGGAATAAAAACTTACACAATGTCTACACCTTACATTACAACTTTAATTGGGCAATGTGGCAAATGAGGTTTGATGCTGATAAATGTAAAGTTGTGCACTTCGGGGCTAAAAAATGCATGCATCATACATACTAGGAAGAGAACAACTGGGGCAGTCAATGATAGAGAAGGATCTGAGTGTTCTGGTAGATCATAGACTGTATTAATAGCATGTAATGCCAAAATGTAGTTTCTAAAGCAAACATAATTTCCCCCTGTACAAAGCATTAGTAATACCTCATCTAGAATATGCAGTTATGTCGAGTAAATAGATAACAAACATGTAAAGCCTGTGAAATGGGGACAAACTACGGTATCTAAAATTGTCCACACGCAAAGCTGAGTTGTGACAAATGAGTTGTGGCACTAGAATAAGTGCTATGATTCCCATGTTCATAGAGATATCTCGCATGTGTGGTACAATCACCATTTGCATATGTGTGCTGGATCTGCGAGCATTAGCATTTGTGTGTAAGTGGGGGGGAGGGCACTAGAATAAATGCTTTCACTCTCATGTTCGTGGAGATACCACACACTTGCATTTGTGTGTGAGTGGAGGGGTTGGGAGCACTTTTAAATTTTTTAAATTATTTTTATTTATTTGATTTAATTTTTTTATACTTTTTTTTGTTTTTTATTTAAGTTTATTGCTATCACAAAGAGGAGAACAAGTCCGTTTGTGATAGCTTTTGGCAGTGACAGCTACTTTTTATGGAGGCATCAGGGGTCTTTTAGACCCCTGATGTTCCCTCTGCCTTCCAAGGCAGCTTATCAAACACAGCCAGGGAATGACAGTAGTGAATCTCGTGCCGAAATCCCTGTCACTTCAGGCTTCTTTTGTCACAGAGGAGATGGGGGAATGAATGTTCCCCCATCTCCTCTGTGAGCAGCTGACCCAACTGCTTACTGTGGTTCCAGGCTCCCTGCTGACTTTAAAAACTGTACAGCTGCAGCTATGAACCTGGTATAAATAAAAAACCAAAAAGTGCTGCAATACATTCATGTGTTCTTAAATGTATACCACTTTCTAATATCAACAGTGTTGTCAATCTCCCTCAAATTACATGTACAAAACAAACAAAATGTTGTATACATAAAACCAAAAGATCAAATGAACATATCAAACATAAGTCCAAAATTAACAAGTGCATGTGAGAGGGTTCCACCACTGTAACACTGCAATGGTTATAAACAATACAAAAGTCAAAGAAAATTTAGATAATATCTTCATCCAA